ACCCCAGTTCTGTATAAATAAATAAATAAATCTTTAAAAAAATAAATAAATAAATAAGAAGGAAAAATATGTGTGATTCCCCTCAAACAAACAGGAACTTGTATAACTAACCTCCTGGGACTTCTCTGGACTAGCTGCCTCTCCAGGACTGGTACCAGTTGTGCTTTTCCTCCGTTTCGTATTTCCAGGTGGTGACTCCTCTTGAGATCTTTCTGGTCTTTTCAATGTTGACCTGGCAGTGGAGCTATATGTGGAAGGGGAATCAAACAGCTTGCATCGATTGCCCTAAAGTGGAAGAAAAATAATCTCTCCTTAAAACCTGTTCACTTAGATGGTAAAGAAAATGAGTTGACCATAGGTGTCCTGGATAATTTGTGATCCATCCCAAATTATGAAAGACACTTAACATTCATCTGGTCCCAGCAACTCATAGAAACTGGCACACAGTAGTCAAGGAAACCTGCTGCTCAATACTATTCCAAGGGGACATTATATGGAGATGAGGAAAACAATTCACGCCCTCAAAATGCTTACTATCTATACAGTCTTAAGAATTAAGTAACTGTCACCTTCCAGCCAGGAACACATTTGTGGCTTATCTCTTCCCCTGTACTTCATTGCTCACACCATTCTTGAACATCTCTACAGATTTTAATGTTCCCAAACCCAGGAAAGATGTGGTTTAATCAGATTCTATTACAAAAATGAATGAGGAGGTTAAAGCAGAGTTAAGAGTATGAAGTATGGAGGAAGCAGAGGAGCTACTCTCTCTCAAAAAGCCCTCTTTACCTGCTTGTTTAGAGTAATTTCTGAGTCTGAGGATAGTCAATCTGACCAGTAGACAGTTTAACTTCAGCAACTTTAATTATCACAGCCTGTTCACAACTCAGGTACCTTAGCCTGACTTTTCCTCTACTGCGAATGCCCTTTCATATACCAGCAAATAAGTCTTTTTTTTTTAAACAGTTTATTTTTACATCATTTTGTGCCTTTTCCCATCTCAGTTGTAATCCCCTTGGGTTTCCCATCACCAAATCACCGGTGTGCCATGACCTATGACAGTCCAGTGCATTCCCCTCCCCGAGCTGGTTTTGATCCCATTCCCCACTCCACCCCATAAAATGTCTCAGGTATATAGCTGTTCATTATTGTTATTTTCTCGCCTGGTCAGTTATACCCTAGCTATGAGTGAAACCATCTGGTTATTTTTCCTTTTCTTTCTGGCTTATTTCACTAAGCATGATCTTCTCCAGCTCCATCCTTGTTGCTGCAAAAGGCATGTGTTTATTTATTTATTTATTTTGGTTGCTGAGTAATATTCCATTGTGTATATGCACCACATCTTTTTAATCCAGTCATCCACTTTTGGGCATTTAAACCAGTCCTTTTTAAGCTGATACTACCATTTCAGTATAGCTGCTGCTTTTCAGTGTTCCTAATTGCCCCCAAGGAATCCCCTCATACTGGTTCTCCCAGAGACTAAGAATTATCTTCTTAGATTTTTGACATTAAATGAATGTTCAAAAAAGCAAGATTAGAGATTTTTTTTAACCGATAAGGGCTGGGAGGATTTGGGGGAAGAGGATCAATAGTTTTTTGCAGGGTCTCACAGGGAAGTGTGGGCGCCTTGAGGGCAGAGGCCCTAGTTCCTATCTCAGCAATTGATTCTGTAGAGTTTGTGGCAGGAAAATTCCCTAGTGTGAATAGTCCACAATACTCTTGGTTTTTAAATCCAATTTTAAAAAGCAGCCATTTCTCTAGAGTATATGCCCATTAATCTATAATTTGTATGTAGCTTCAAGAATACAGTTTATTTGTTCCATATTTAGAGTTCCAGGGCATTGACAATTAAAATGTAAGGTTATCAATTTATATGTACCTAAGTTGCTCTGAATTTCTGTTGCAGTAATATGTAGGTTTAAGTGTTTACATAATATCAAGGATGCTTATCTGTGCAGGAAGTCTTCTAATTTTTTGTCTGAAAGAATCCCTGATGGAAACATGAGCCTACAGTCTATATACTGACAGGGTGCATAATTTTTATTAAAACATATAAACATTCTGTGAACTACTACTGTTTATAAAATATTATGCTAGAAGCTATGGAATATGAATAAATGCGAATGATCTAAAAAAAAAAAGAGCAACTAAATAATCTTCAGACTTCATAAAATCTGTGGGTCATTCACACTTCATAAAAGTTTCTGGCTGACAAAAGCTTTTTCAAAGTAACTGGGTGCTAGGGTTAAAAACAACTATGCAGATAGAAGAAATGCACCCCTCAAGGTCACAATTTCAAGGCAGCTGAAACCAATAATACCCAGATTCCCTTGGTCCTATCATTCCCTCCAAACGTTGGCTATCCTTTGCTAAGGTGGCATTATTGAGGGTCTCTACCTTCTAGGAAATTAAACTCCCACCCTTAAACACATAAAAAACAACCAACAAATTCAAGGAACTACCTTAAGGCAATCTCTTAAACTAATACCTTTGTTGTCATTCTTATGGTTTCTTCTCTTATCTCCACCACCTCAAATACCAGTAATTCTAATTTAGATGATTCTTTCAATCTATTCTCTCCTTTCCACATGATTTAGAAAGTCTCCAGCACTTATTCCTTAATAGGTACTATAGACTTCCCCTCCAGTTAACACAATCATATGCTGAGAAACCTAAAAGTCCCAAGGAAATCAAGTCTAAACCCCTTAGATTGGTAAATAAGTCAGATGCCCCACAATCTTGCCTGCCCTGCCCTTCAACCTCACTGAGTTACTCTCTTTCTTCACATAATTTCATAAGTCAACAGAATCTGCGCCCCCACTACTTCCACCACCATGAGTTGCCACAGTCCCTGCTCAACACGCCTTCTCTGGGCACCCTCCTGACTTGTTCACAGCACTCAGGTGGCTGCTCATCACCTACAGTTCTTCCTAGCTCCAAAGGACATTCTGACCTTGCAGCGTCCACAGCACCCACCTATTAAATAGATACATGTGACTCTCTGCATGATTTTAACACAGCCACAGGATAAGCTGCTGCACCATTGGGTGCTCCTTAACTCTACTGTTCCCATGTCCCAGAGACCCTTCCTCCTGTTTTAAAAATGGCTACCAGAGATGGAAAAATGAACAAAATGATGGAAAAATAAACTATTATATTATTTATTTAAAAAAAGAAAAAAAAAAAAAGACTACCTTATGCCCTTCCTATCCATATCTGCAGCCTAGCCTTTGACTGCTAAGTGATATTAATTACGATCGCTTGTGAGGAACCTTGAGCTGCTACTTGTTTCACCTTCTGTAATATCCCTTTTTGGACAACTATCCAGACTTCCCTTCTCATGTGTGTGTGGTACTCTCAAGACTCTCCATATCTTGCATCTCCCTGGTAGCCTAGGGGGTATGTCTCAGGGCTATCACCCCTACAGCCTGAGTTTAGTCAGGGAGCTAACCCACATGACTCAACAGATCTTTCCTGTCTTGCCCACTGCTCCCCTTAGCAGTATATTTCAGTCACTCCTCTGCTCCCACTCTGTCTCTGGTGAATCTTCTCTCCCCCATCTCCCTCCACTACCTCCTATCTCCTGTAGTGGCCACCTCTGCATTCTGTTCTCTCCCTACCCATCAGAACAGGGCAGAGTTATCCTCTCCTTTTGTTCAGTCTGTTTGTTTAGTTTAGTCCACTATCCCAAGTTAATCATTCAAAATTCCCTCCTGACAGGCTGGAACAACTTACAAGATTTGTAGTTCTTCTCATTACTAGGGGAGCTGTCCAGAGGCTTGCCATGCATGACGGGGTCTCTTCATCATTCTAAAACAAGAGAAAACAGTGTTTCAAAGATCCAGTACAAACTAACATAAGTTTAAATGCTTTAGGTCTAATTCTATCTAAGAAATATAGACAAGACTGGAGAGAAAGCATCTAATGTTCACCCTTTCCCACAACATTTTAAGGTCAGAGAGAATCACAGACTGTAGCTTAAAGCATCTCCAGAGGGTATATGAGGAGATATCTCTGTAGTTTTATACCACAGGGCAACTAGGTCTCCACTGCTTTATGTCTCTTACACAAAAATATAATGCCAAGTTTCTTCACGGTAAGTAGGATCATATCATGTCTTCTTTTGAAGCCACCATAGGATTCAACAGGCTAGAAATTGTCAATAAAATCTCACTGAAAGATTTTCATAGAACAAAAATAAGCAATTAAAGCCCTACGAATTACTGTTTTCCACATGCCTTCTCTAGGGGAAGTTAGTGGAAAGGATAGGAGGAACAGAGATGCACAAATACAGAGTACCTTCAGATTTTCTCCATCAAGAAGATCCATGAAGCCATCATCTTCATCAGATAAAGTGGAAGACACAGGTGACTGGGGCATAAAAAGAGGAATGAAATTCCCTGGCTCACTGCTATCTCTTTCATTTGAGGAAAACTACAAGAAAGAATTCATAGCTTGTTAATAATCAGTTTGGTTTAATTGGTCACTAATTTTTATGAGATAAATATACTATCTGTCATAAGGAAAATTTTAGCATCTACCAACTGAAGGAAAATAAATCTTAAGATTATGAAGGAGTCAAGTCCAGCCTACTAGAGGTCACAAAGTATTGCCAGAAGCAATTTACCTTCTGGGATAACCCTTGTGAAAAACAAAGTTTATCAGAGGATTAAAATGGGTAAGTGGGAAAGAACCTGAAATATCACCAATACTATGATAATGTGCTAAAATGAGGAGTGAGAAGATACAAATCTCTATGGAAATCACAAAATGGCCCAGAAAACACTTATTTAATTCCAGTAGTATAACAGAAGAAAATAAAGGGTGGTCTGATTCTAGAAAGTGTATCTTCTTTGGACTTGAAATTTAAATGAAGTTTTAACTGAAGAACTACTTGTGTCAATCACTATGATGTAATCTTTACATATATGATACCATTCAAGCCTCACAAAATATATCAAGAAACCAAAGCTTAAGAGATTACCAAAATCACTGCTATTTGACTCTAAAGCCCTAGCTTTTCTCCCCAACATTCTCTCCCTAGGTGGAAAACCAGAGAGTAAAAATGGGGTATCTCATTAGGCAGCCAATGAAAAAAACCTCATTATAAAGCAAATATATATTTACTATAGAAAATTTAGAAAACACACTCAAGCTTTTTGTCCAACTGTGTTTATGGATTCTCTCTTTCCTTTCTCCTTTTCCTAATAAACTGTTGTTTGAAATGTAAAAGAGAGACTCTGCTAAGGCTACAGTGGCTGATATGAGTTCTTTTCCAGAAAACAAATCCAGACATATTGCCTTCCACAGTAACAAAGTCCTGCAAATAATCCTTATGAAGACCCAAATTCCTTTGGGGTAAGAATGCATTAATTCTCAAATGGCCCTCCTGTTTTCAAAGTGGACCACTCACCTAGGAATTAACCCTGTTTGAGGTTGGCCTGTTTCACTGTTTCAGTCACTAGCTTTGTTTCACAACATAAAACAAGTTCTGTGGCATCTCTGATCTTGAGCATCTAAGCATACCTAAGCAAGTAAGCAGTTCTTCAGTCAGCAGAGTCTAGGTAATTGTGATAGTGTGAAGGATCACACTCTTATAATACCAATTTTTGTGACCTCAGTTCTGAGCCTCCTGCCCCCCAGGTACAAATGTGATATAGAAAATGACAATGTCCAACAGAACCTAATTCCTTCTCCTTGATACACTGCTGGGGCCTCCCTGGTGGTACAAGGGGTTAAAGTGAAGCACTATGAAGCTATCCATAGCCAGTGAAGCACAAGTTCAATCTCTGACCAGGGAGATAACCCATATAGCACAGTAGACTTTTGTCTTGACCACTGCTCCCCTTGGCAGTGTCTTTCAGTCAAGCTGCCTATTCTGTCTCTGGTGAATTCTGTCAATCCCTGCACCTCTGGGCTATACTCCAGTTCTTGTATGCATAAATAATAAATAAATCTTTAAAAAAAAAGAAAAGAAATACACTGCTGAGGAGAGAAGCTGGTGACAAAGGAGAGATCTGCTGTGCCATGTGGGTTAGCTCTCTAGCTGGGGATCAAACTTATGCCACAGTGGTTTGCAATAGCTTGATAACACTGAGATTAACCCCTACACCACCAGGGTGGTCCTGATCACTCTTTTTCAACTAGTAATATTGGAAAAAATGCAGCTACTTCATGACTTTCTGAAAATGATTAAGGACAAGTGCTATGTGCAAATGCTAGACAGAACAGTAACATAGCTGGACCTGAACCCCAGATCACGGAAGTCAGACTGGAAGTCAATATTTTCAGATTCCTAGGAAAACCTGGAAATCAAAAGTGGTCATTTTGCTGAAGTTGGGTCTCTCCAGTCTTTATAACTAAAATGGTGAGGTCACCAGTAAGAAACTATCAACAATCTGCCTGACAAATAAATAATAAAAGTTTTAAGGAACATATACATATTTAAAAGGATGACCAGACCACAGACTGTTTCCTAAGAAATGACATGGTCAAGGGCCATCCCTAGTAGCACAACAGGTTGAAGTGAAGCAATATGAGGCTATCCACAGCTACTGCAGCACCAGTTCAATTCCCAGCCACATGGCTTGGATCGCCTCTCCTGGCCCGCCCCCTGCTCCCCTCAGCAGTGTATTTCAGTAGATCTGACTATTCTGCTCCCCAATGTCTCTGGTGAATCGTCTCACCACCACTCCCTGCCCTCCACCTCTGTCCTCAGCCCAGTTCTTATATGCATAAATAGATAAATCTTTAAAAAAGAAAAAGAAATGTCAAGGTCAAGTTATTCCTTGGTCAAGTCCAATAATTCAAATACACCATCACACTCTGCTTCTGTCGGTCTACTCTCCAGATAGAGCAAAAACGTTAACAGTCTAACTTTCAAAGACAAAGTCAAAGCAAAGATAGTATAAGTTCTTGCGTGTCTTCTACTCCAAGTTATTAAGTGTGCTTTAATTTTCTTCCCATCAGGAAGACCCCTATGAAAGCCAGAGCACATACCATCCGAGCTGGGGCAGAGTTCTGCCTCTGTGTAAGGAGATCTTTACCCTCTTCAAGTCCATGAGAGTGCAGGTAGCCACGAGACGCAGGTCTTATTGGCTTCTTAAACTCAAAGGCTTCCTGCAAGACAGTATGGTCAAGATAACTTCCACTGTCTATAAAAAGCAGCTCTAGGACCTAGGCTATATACAGCTCAGGTGAGACAAGCAAGGATGTTGGCACTGATCCCCTTTGTACCTGCTCCAACTAAGGGTTTGCCTGATCTAATTCCAACACTGGATCTCGGTAACTAAGAATTCTAAAGGTCTTGTCAACAGCTAACTTCTCATGGAAGTTTCCTTATAAACACATGATTATCTCCCAAGAATAAAACACTCTAAGATACAGGCTAAGTCAGCAACTTTCTAAAATCTAAAGCAAAGTCATTTCAACAACTGCCTATGAATGGTAATAAAACCTTTCACTCTCTATTTACATTTACATACTTGAAAGATTTATATCTCTACCTTCTTCCTACCAATAAGTATAAGGTTTTTCCACTTAAAACCATTACAGTGCCTGCTAAAAATCAATGAAAAAAAGAAAAAAGAAAACTACTAGATTAATAAACAACATGAATAAATCTTTCATGATAAATGAAAAAAAGCCAAAGTGATACTAGAACACACTATATGATTTCATCTACTTAAAGTTTAAGAAAATGCTCATAATATCCCTAATAGCCAAAGAATTTGTCTTTGTTTAGAGCAGTACATATCACAGAATATCTGTATGCCAACACAATGTTAAATACTTCCTGTGCATTAACTCATTTAATGATCAACCACAACTTAATTATTCCCATTTTACAGTTGGGACAATAGGGCTTAAGTGATGTCCCCAGGATTATTATAAGGCTAGGTAGGACTTTAGTACAAAAGCTCTTCTAAACCTATACTCTGGACCAAAACACAAGTAAGTAATTCTGGGAGAAGCCAGGTTTGAAGAGGGTTGAGGAAGAAACCAGGTATTCAGACAGTGTTTGCCTATTCCCTAGAAAGTACTACACAGAGGAAAAACAGTGTTACAAGTGCTTAAGGCAGGAGCTCATTTCCATATTCTCAGAAAATCTTTCAAACTGCAAAGGTATCATCAATTGGAAGGCAGGTTTTAAACTAAGTTTGTAGAATTATAAAGATTAAAGACTATGACCCATTGCATTTTAGTAGGAATGGAAAGCGGTGGGAATAAATATGGGAATATGGTGAGACATAAGGCTGGAAAAGTTGAGCCAATTCATAGAATGATATTGGAGGCCAACCCTGTCTAGAGCAGCCAGGCAGGTGTGAGAGATAAAAGCCTCACTTTTGGATAGACTCACTATGTGACCATTTAACTGATTATACCAGTTACAGATATTCCCTGCACTTGTTTGGTTCTATTATTTCTTTTAAAGATTTCTTTTTATTTATTTATGCATACAAGAACTAGGGTGTAGTCCAGAGTTGGAAGAGGAATGAGAGGATTCACCAGAGACAGAGTGGGAGACAGAGTGGGGAGCAGAACAGGCAGACTGACAGAAATACATTGCTGAGGGGAGCAGCAGGTGAGACAGGAGAGGTCTGCTGTACCATGTGGGTTAGCTACCCAGGTCGGCGGGGATTGAACTCATGTCCCAATGACTGGCAAAAGCTTGATAGCACTGGTACTTAAACCCTGCACCACCAGAGACAGGGAGGCCACAGCCCTATTCTTTCAGATAGCATGAAGAAGTCTTTCCTGAGTTTACAACCTGTACCAAGGGCACAGAAGCAAGGAAAGCCAGGGCAGACCCTAACAGTTAAGTTATTGACAGGTAAAATTATTCCTAAGAGTTACTACCTGAGCAATTCCCACATACCAGAAGCCATTTAAAAAGCCATACATACTCTATATTTGTGTATACATATCTACCTACTACATATCTACCTACACACACACATGCACTATAATCTTATCTCCACAACACAAGGTACTACTTCTAGCTTACAAATAAATGACTCCGAAGAACCTGTATGATTTTAGTGAAGGTTTAACCTCCCAGAAGAAAGCTATCTTATAATATAAGCCACTTATCTATAAGCCACTTAGGCTGGTGAGTTTTACCTTTGCTCTGGGTTACTACATTGATGCCACACTTACATTTTCTTTGTTCTCATCCTGGTCAATCAGCTGAAAGACATCATGGTCAAGAGAATCAGAATGGCTCCTCTTCAGAGCTGGGCTACACCCCAGGAACTTCTGCTATCAAAGTGAAAAAAGGAATTAGGTACATAAGTGAACTTTCCATGGAAACAGTTCTCAAAAGAAATAGGGAGCAAAGGGAGGTCTAGTTCCTCACACCAAAGTAGGCAAGGTGGCCAGACCTCAACCTTGCCAGAACACAGGACACAAATTTCCCACTACATGTCATTACACTTAACCTCACAAGATCTACAGCCCTCACGTAGTAGGGCTTTAGGATGCCAAATTAAACCCAAAGTAATATCCAATGCTCACTGGTTTGATAAAACTTATACTTAGAGATGGAAGGAAAAGCTCTCAAGAGTCATTACTAAAGCTGCCCTATGCAGACTGTTTGAGGCAAAGGAAAAGCAGCTTCACTATCTAAATAAGGATGCCATCAAGATCACTGTGATACTTAAGGGGTCAGATAAAAATATTAGCTAAAAGTAAGCAAGGAAACTAACTTACAGGTAGGGAATTTATTCTTCTCATGGGATTTTCAAGGCTGCAATGAAATCAGAAGGTAAATGAGAATAAAGCAAGTAAAGAGATATATTAGCAGATGCATAATGTCTACCCTATGGTTTGGGTAAGAGAGCAATCAAACTTATTCCCATTTCAGGTTTTAGGTTAAGAAAAATAGTTTTAAGTTGTCCAGTTATCACAAGCACCTATAACACTGGGCTTCTGGGAAGAAAAAAAAAAGCAAGCCCAGGGTCTCCCTGGTGGTATAAGGGGGTTAAGTGTCAGCACTATCAAACTATCACCAGCCACCAAAGTATGAGTTCAATCCCCAACCAGGGAGCTGACCCACATGGTGCAGCAGACCTCTCCTATCTCACCTGCTGCTTCCCTCAGCAGTGTATTTCAATAGATTTGACTGTTCTGCTCCCCACTCTATCTCTGGTATATCCTCTCACCCACCCCGGTTCTCCCATGCATAATTTAAATCTTAAAAAAAATTTAGAAGTTGTGAATACATACTTTTCTTTACTGTCCAAGGGTCCAGGAGAATCCAGACAAAAACCTGTGGGAAATTAAAAAACAAAAACTCAAGGAAAAAATACACAAAATACTACTTTGTCATTAAAGTAAATGAATAAATAGAACTACTAGTACTACTTCTTTTATGCATGTCAACATAGTCTCAAGGCTTGGACCTTTGCTAGAAATGAAGTCTAGTCTATTTTGCGATCAAAAACTTCACATTTGGGGTCTCCCTGCTGGTGCAAGGGGTGAAGTCCCAGCACTATGAAACTACAGGCAGTCACTGAAGCATGAATTCAATCTACATCCAGGGAGGTGACCCACGTGGCATAACCTCTCCTGTCTCACCCGCTGCTCCCTTCAGCAGCATATGTCGTTTCAATCTGTTATGCTCCCCACTTTCTCTGGTGAATCCTCTCACCCCTTCACCTCTGGCCTACACCCCAGCTCTTGTATGCATAAATAAATGTTAAAAAAAAAAAACACTTTGGCATTTGTATGTCTTAATATTTTCATAGTATACCTACTGATACCCTACAACTAACATACACTAAAGGAAAATTGGATTTGAAGTGTGAAAGTGAATCTTCTCATGACTGCATTTGATATTTACCCAAAAAAGATTTATGCATACAGAACTGGGGTACAGGCCAGAGGTACAGAGACAGTGAGAAGACTCACCAGAGACAGAACAGGGAGCAAAACAAGCAAATTGAAGAAGTATACTCCTAAGGGGAGCAATGGGTGGGTCAGGAAAGGTCTGCTGCGCCATGTGGTTCACCTCCAGGGCAGGGGATCCAACTCACACTGAAGTGGCTGTGGATAGCTTGCAGTGCTGTGCTTTAACCTGATATGCTACCAGGGAGGGCCCTACCCAAGTAACTTGCTAATGATAAGAAATATTTTCCTGGTGATTTTGATTTCAGATACTTTCTCATCAGGTCATAGGTCTAATTTTGGGGGTTGAAAAAAAATTACAATTATTAGTCACATCTGAGGCAAAACAAGTATTGTCATCAACAAAAACACCAAGCAAGGTGCCCATGCCACAAAGAGAAGGGTAAAAGATATTGCTCAGCATGGCCCAGGCCCACTAGCATCTACCTAGTTTTTGCCTCTTCCTCCATGTCTAAAAAAGTTAGAGGAATTAAGGTGTCAGCTCTAGAGTGACATTCTAGGTAAGTGGAAATAAAAATCTGCCATTTTGCCACAAATGAGAGCTCTATTCCTAGTTCTTAAGCACACATTTTAGGACTTGTTCTTGCAGTTCCCTAAATTAAGACTTCTGTGCCACAAATGCTCTTATCTTTGCAAATAGAGAAACCTTGCTTTAATGTGAATTTATGAATCAGAATAAAATGCACTGTCACACTGCTTCCAAAGGAGGCTCACTGAAATAATTTCATTACCCTGCCAACAACTTGACCAGCATTTTAACCAAAGATTGTCCAATGCCACTTAAAGATGGTGTGGTTCACTTTACTTTAGTACAGACACATATCACCTCCTTGCTTCTTTTCTTCACAAAAGACCAGTGGCTCCTTTGTGCAGTTCATAACTCTATGCTAAGACTTCCTGAGTACTGTCCCAACTACTCATCAAGCTAAATTCCTAGGTGAAAGAACATGTTTTAGCAAATTCCAAGTATTATTCTCCCCACAAAGCAGGCAAAGATAAATCTTTAAGATTAAAAGAATACCTGAATCTGTTGACTCAGAGGAGCCCATTCTCTGCAAACTGCTGTTTCTTGTCTTTGGTGGCTGTTCACACTCACTGAAACCAAGAGAAATAGTTTTCTATGTATTTCTAAAATATAGTTAAAAGATAACATATAGGAAATAGGCCATGAGGTTAATAAGTAGCCAGGCAGCCATAGACCATTATTACTTCTAGGCCATACCATAGATTCCATTGCCACCCAGAACACCCAGTTAGTATTTGGGCACAAAAGGAGAAAGAAATGGAGGGCCTGGTTCATACTGTAGTATAGGACTTTCATGAAAATTTCCTGTAATGAGCATGTGCTCTAGGTACTGTGTTAGTAACAGGGATGAAAGATGGATAGAAGTTCCTGCATTTCAGAGAAGTTGAAAGTTCAAAACATGTGCTTGCTTAGAAAATGGGATATCCATGATTGAAGAGGAAGAGCGACGCAACACCAGACACACTGTGAAATGCACGTTTAAACAGAAGAAAAAGTCTAGGGCGCTTTTGAGTTATTGAGAAATTTAGTAAAAAAGAGCTTGGTCTTAGAAAGCATCTAGGTAGACATCAGGAATATGCACGGGTCCAGGGGTTGAGGCTTATGCACAAACACCCGGAAATAAAATGCCACGTCCCTTTGTTGAGAAGGAACAAAGCTCACAGGAAACTATGATCCTGCGAGGTGCTCCAGCAAAGGGTGGAAGTGAGCCTCCCGTCTCCGGCCCCCGAAGCCCCCCGAGAAGCTGGATATCAAAGAGCTTCCTGGGTTAGGCACAGGAGTACAGGGCAATCCAAAAGGGGTGGCGAAGTTGGGGGACCAGGGCCTTTCCCACCCCTTACAGGGCCTGTATGGGCACTGAGGGCGGCCCTGGAGGGTCAGACGGCTTCTCCCGCCCAACATTCCGCCTGGGGGGAGGGTGCACATGGCAGGCCCAGACCTGGGCCTCTAGGTCTCACCCTTCTCGCGGTCGGCTTCCCGGCCTGATCTCCCTGAGCGCCGGCTGGAAGGCCAGCGGCCTGAGGCACCGTTCATCCGTCCCTCCTTACCTGCCCAGCCCCTGCAGCTGGTCCATGGTGACCGTCAGATTGGTGACAGGCGACAGACCTCCGGCGGCAGGTGCGCCAAACAGCGCCTTCACGACGGGCTGCGGAGCGGGAGGGGGGCTGCAGGCGAAGAGCAGGCGGCGGCGGTGCGGGGGCTCAGGGCCCAGTTCCATGGCGGCGCCGGGCCTCCCCGGGCTCCTGCTCCCTCTTCCTCCGCCTCCGCCGTGCCCGCCCCGCCCCGCTGGCACCGGCCTCGGCCGCGAGCCCAGCCGCGGGCGCCCGCGGGTCAAACACAAACACGACCCCGAGGTTCAGGGACGCGGCTGACGCGGGCAAGCGGCGCGGACGGGTGGGTGTCCAGACCAGGCAGGCGCCAGCCACATGCACGGGTGCTTCCCCTTCACCCCGCGAGGCCAGCGGGCGGGCGGGCGCCGGCAACCTGAAGATTAAATCCAAACAAACGCAGCGGGTCGATAAGGGAGAGCGGCTGGAGCCGCGAGGCAACGGCCTGGGCTGCCGCACTCTTCGCTTTCCTCTCACCCCTTTGCCCAGCCAGTCTCAAAGGAACTGGCCAACCTTCACCTCCCTACCGGGCTGTCGCTGCCGAGGTGGCCTTTCGCGGTAAATAGCTGCTCACTGGGGACCGCCGCTGCCCCGCCCCCCTTTCCTAGTTGGCGCCAAACGGAATCCACCAATCAGTAAGCAACTTCTCCTACTTGCACCGGAGTGGCAGCTAGGCTAGACCAATGAGAGGGGAAGAAGGAGGCAGCTCGCGGGACTCTGCGAGGTCACCCGCTCTCAGAAAGGGGCGGGGCCTAGGTTAGACCAGAGCTGATCAGAAAGGGAAGGCGCTCAGAGGTCAATGAAAACTCCCAGCGGAACCTGCGAGGCGCGCCGCTCCAAGCGAAAGGCCCCTCTGGGCCAGTTGCATGCTGGGAAGCGTAGTTCCCACCCTGCGCGGCAATCCTGTCACCCCCCCTACCCTCCTGGGATGTGGGTCCCCCGCCCAGCCCGCCTTCGACACACAGGGAGAATGCGGAGACTACAGAAAGCCCTTCGGGTGACTGGACGTCAGGGGGGGCCCAGCCTTAACTTGACCTGTAACTGCAGTGCTGTGGACCCCATTTTATAAAAAGGGAGGAAACTTCGTGACCCCAGCACTGGCCACTGCCTAACCACACTTATTTGAACCCTATTTACCCGCTGAGCTGGGGGCCTAACATTCTTTGCCCTTTTCCATTTTAGCTCTTATTATATTTTCTTAGAATCATTTCCTCTTCATTCACCCTTTATTACCCTACTGGGAGCACCTAGATAGCAATCAATATCTTAAAAATTATAATAGCTAATGCTTATATTGTACTATGTGCCCCACACTTCTAATTAATTTACCTAATTAATTAATTAATTCATATTACTCTTGCAATAACTCTATAGAAAGGAATCATCCCCATTAAAAAAAAATTATTAGCTTTCCCTGGTGGCACACCGGGTTAGAGCACCACATTGTGAAGCTCTCCAAAGCCACTGCAGCACAAGTTCAACCCCAGCCAGGGAACTGACCCACATGGCATGGCAGACCTCTCCTGACCAGCCCACTACTACCCTCAGCAGTGTGCTTTGTCAATCTGCCTGTTCTGCTCCCCACTTTGTCTCTGGTGAATCCTCTCACCCACCTCACCTCTGGCCTGTACCCCAGTTCTATATGCATAAATAAATAATCTTTAAAAATAGACACATTTAGGCCCTCCCTGGTGGCGCAGCGGGTTAAAGCACAGCACAAAGAAGCTTAAGCCACTTCCGCATGAGTTCGATCCCCGCCTGCCCCGGAGGTGACCACATGGCGTGGCAGACCTCTCCTGGCCCGCCCGCTGCACCCCTCAGCAGTGTGCTTCGTAGACCTGCCTGTTCTGCTCCCCACTCTGTCTCTGGTGAATCCTCTCACCCTCCACATTTCTGGCCTGTACCCCAGTTCTGTACGAATAAATAAATCTTTAAAAAAAAAATATAGACACATTTAAAAAAATTATTTATTCATGCATATAAGAACTGGTGTGTAGGCCAGAGATGGTGTGTGTGTGTGTGTGAGAGAGAGGATTCACCAGAGACAGAGTGGGGAGCAGAACAGGCAGATCAACTGAAATACACTGCTGAGGGCAGCAGCAGGGAGACAGGAGAGGTCTGCTGCACAATGTGGGTCACCTCCAGGTGGGGGATGGAACTCTGAACTCACACTGAAGTGGCTGTCTCTAGCTTGCAGTGCTGCCCTTAACCTGCTGCACCACCAGGGAGGGCCTTGCCAGAGATTTTTAGTTCTGTTTAGGGCCTACCATTGAATCCATTCAATTAAATGTTTCTTTAAAGAAAACAACACCTTTGCTTTTATACTTTTGTATTATGTAAATGATACAAGTATAGCCTTAGAAAATATAGAACTGAATAATTTAAAACATCCATACTGTTAGCTTTAAAGAAACAAATGCCAACACTTTGAACTGTTGTGTATGTGTGGGTGTGCTGTAAACATGAATTTATATTTGTTTCAGGATCAAATAAAAGAATGGAAAGTTGGCTTTGCCTGAGCAGACATTCTCTAAGTGACATAAGCCCAGCTGTGTTAATATACTGAAGCATTTCCAACATACTGAAAGCAAGTGCTAGGATTACAATAAAAATTTGTGTTAGAAATGTCAGGAAACCATTGTTTTTTTCCTTTTTTAATGTTTTGTACTAAGGCAATGTTGGTCTACATCATTGTAAGTTTTATTTTTATTTATTTATTTTTTAAAGATTTATTTAGTTATGCACACAGACCTGGGGTACAGGCCAGAGGCACAGGTTAGGTGAGAGGATTCACCAGAGACAGAGTGGGGAGCAGAAGAGGCAGACTGACAAAATACACTGCTGAGGGGAGCAGAGGGTGAGACAGGAGAGGCCTGCTACATCATGTGGATCAGCTCTGGGGCAGGGATTGAACCCTCACTGAAGTGGCTGTGGCTAGCTTGCAGTGCTGTGTCCTAACCTGTTGCACCACCAGGGAGGGCCTGTTGTTTTTGATTTAAAGGTTTAAAAGTGTTGAGGATGATTTTTACTATGATTGAGGGTCATCTTTTATTGTGATATGGAAGCAAAGGGAAAAGGGTAATTTAACTGAAGCATTTTCTTCATTTCCTTAGGAACATTCACCAAAGTCCTAATTGAGCACAAGGGCAAGAAAAAATCCCTGCACTGTGAATTGGCACTTGTCAATTCTAATCTGGTTTTGTTTTGGGGGAGTCCATTTTTGCTCACTCACTCACTCAGCCTCTACTGAGCTGACCAGCTTGCTAGATTCAAACAGGGTAAATGCTTTCCTGAAGATGTACCTAGAATGTCCTCCTTACCCGCCCCCCCCCACCTGATTCATTCATCTAACACCCTTTCCAGGAAAGCTCTGCTCTGAAATAGCCTGACTGATGTATTTCCCTGTTATCGTCACATTCCAGCCACCACATGTTTCAGAGAGTTTAAGAAGGGATTCTGCTCTATTCTGTTAGATTAGAGAATACCTGAAGAAATTACTAGCAGGATAAATCCTTAGAAGCTAGGAGAAAGTGTTCTGGATTGGAAAGAGTCCCCAGTGTGGGGCAGAGAATGAGTGAGAGAAAAGAAGATAGGGGAAAGGCCAGAGTTTAGACTGCAGGGACCAGTAGACCCAATTCTGAAATTTGGAATTTATCTCAAAGGCAATGGAAAACAGGAGTTTACATCTACATTTAGAAAAGATAACCCAGGCTACAGAGTACAAAACTGATTGAGCGATGATCAGTTGATAGAACTGGGGCCACTAGTTCAGATGGGATCCCAGTAGTCCTTCTACTAAAGAGAGTGGACTACTTAGAATTAGGGGCTCTCCAATTCTAGTTTCTCATCACATCATCGGGGAGGTGTTGATTTCATTTATATATTAAGTAATCAATTTATGTGGTACACATTCAAATGATACCCAAAATGATCTACGTGAATCCTCCCATTCCTGTCCTCAGCTACTCTGTTTTCCTCCCTCAAAATGAAGCTCTGTGGGGGCAGTTTTGTTAGGTTGTTCATTATCTGTGTTTATGCTAACATGTAATAATAAATTTTTTCATGTGTCTTAGATATGATTCAATATTAACAGGTAAAGTTTCTTGTTTCTAGTGATGGCTTGCAGTTTCAGGAGTATTTTTGAAAAGACAGGTCTTCAGGTCTCTCCCTTAGGTATATATGTTTTAAAAGATTTATTTTTATGTATTTATACATACAAGAATTAGGGTGTAGGCCAGAGGTGCAGGGGGTGAGAGGGTTCACCAGAACAGAGTGGAAGCAGAACAATCAGATCCACTGAAATACACTGCTGAGGGGAGCAGCAGGTAAGACAGGTGAGGTCTGCTGCACTGGTGGTGGTGGGGGTGGGGGGGAGGAGAATAGAACTCAAACTCCAGTGCCTGGAGAGCTGGAGATAGCTCAGTAGTGCTGGGACTTTAACTCCTGTGCCTCCAGAGAGTCCCTCCCTTAGATATTTTGACTTCATAGCCTTGGTTTGGGATCCTGCCTGGAATTTGGAATCTATGTATCCTCACAAAGCTCTTTGAATTTTTCTGAAACAAGTCAGTTTTGTGTCCAGTCCTTTGAATACTAGAGATCATACACATTATTCTAACATACAACTTGTGATTGTGCTGGGGAACAAACTTTGTAGGATGGTATTGTGAGCACAGGTTAAGTAAGTCTTGTATCATGACTAAATGTTTGCTCTGGGCTGGCAAATTTTTCCAGCTGAAGTGCCCCTATTCTTTATCACTGATATTTCTAGAACAGTTTTACCCAGCCCCTCCCCCAGTACTTTTCCAGCCTCCTCCCCAATCCTACAACATTCCCAAGTTCCTATCTTCAATCAGGATCTCTCCAGAGTTCCAGCCCCTCATCAGAATCCACCTAGAAGGCCACTGGCAAATAAAACTCACAGCTACTTCTCTCCTACCAGCTTCCTCCCTAAGTTCCTTGTCAAAAGATGGTACCTCCATGTATCCCTTCTCCCTCCTCAGTGGTGCCCAGGTCTAGCTGGACTCCTAAGCCTCGATCTATGCAAATAAGACCTCCTCCCACCCTCTGTTTCACCCTTCCTTCCTTCTGCCCTCCCCTCCTTGCTTAAAGAAAGGACTTCCACACACTTTGCACCCATGACCAAGAACACACATATCAAAGTTTTCAATATAACATTTATCCATACTGTATGTAATAGTCTATTTTCATTTTATGTCATTAAAAATCCTACCCATGAACCTCTAAAATTAATGTTATAAAAGTATGCACCAAAAATACTGGATGGTTTCGCTCATGGCAGGAGTATAATGGACCAGGCAAGAAAATAATAAGAATAATG